ATCCAACGTGACATGGTCTTCTGAATATTTGTTTATTTCTTATTAGTATGGCATTGGCGATCCCACAAAGTTACCAACTCTGATTCTTATTTTAATCACATTGCTTTCGCCAGAGAAAGTTAATAGTCATGTAATGGATGACACCCAACACGGAGACAGACAACCGAAACCTATTGCGTTTATAATTGTATGATCCATTGTATGCATATATATTTTCAAGGTAGTTTATTAATTTTTAATTGTATATTTAATGTTAAATATAAAATATATTGTAATCTCCAGGCTCATTTTAAAATATAATTGTTTGAAAAAAAAACAACCCTTAATTCTGTGAAAAATATGCGTGCCTTAGGTCTCTACGCTCCACCTGACAAAATACCTTTTAATAGATAATAAGTTTAAGAAACAATGGTAGAATCAGGATCTAACAGGTGATTGAAGAAAGGTAGAAAGAGGCGATATTTGCTTTCTACTTGGATCGTAAGATAATTTGATTACAAAAAAGATAAAAAAAAAAAAAAGGTGGCCTACAAAACTATTAGGCCGATTGTCCTATATAACCTCGTTATTTTGAAAATTTGGGGGTATAGGTCACTCCAAACGGCTCAATATTTTTGATGATCACCTTTTTAGTTTGGAGTGATCTACACCCCCAAATTTTCAAAATAACGAGGTTATATAGGACAATAGGCCTAATATTTTTGTAGGCCACGTTTTTCCTCTATTGATCAAATTATTTCACGATCCAAGTAGAAAGCAAATGTGTATTTACGAGTTTTTAGTACCTAACTATATAGAAAAAAAAATATCCCCCCTCGAGATTAGAATTGATTGCCCAGATGGAATTGACCTACAATTCCAAGAGTTTTCGTAAATAAAATAGTTGTAGGTTACGATGAGACGAAACTTAAAAATTTATGAAGTTTCAGGCGGATGTTAATAATTCGATAAAAAGGGTCTGTACCACGGACTATAAGTATTGGCTATGGAGAGGGGATTTTTATCACGAACAAAAATTTAAAAAATAATATTTACTTATTAGAGTGCTACCATTGGGTAGTTACTCAGCAAATGTTTTTCATGTCATTATATACATTATGTTCTAATTTACTAGATGTATTTATTTAATACAGTTGTAAATGTCTTTAAGAAATAAACAAAATATATATTTACTTAGTCATAGTTTATTGATTAATGTATTTTGCATAGTTTACTTAATGTCACTTCAATTTTCAAGCTATTGATGAAATTTTAGCCTTTATCATAAATAAATATCATATAAATCTCGATTGATATAACTTAATTGATAATATAATAAATGGACAGGAGACAGACTATACAGTATCCGCAGTACTGAAGAGCTGTGCAAGTTTAGAGAAATATACGACAGACTCCGACTTACCTAGGTACGCAAGAATTTAATATGTTTTTTTTTCATATCAGTTTTAAAAGCTAAAAAAAATTAAATGACCACATCTCACTCTCAGTAAATTTTTGACTGATCTTAAACCTAAGACTTAAACTGGAAATGTAAAAGTTCAAATTTTGAAGCCGTTAATAATTTTTTCTAAGTCAATTACATAGGTCTATGAAAATAATATACCGAAGATTTGGCTAAATAGATGGTATATAGAATCAAATGTGAGATCATCATTACTTCTATCCTTGATCAGGCAATAGAGACACATCTATGAAGATCAGGGAAGGACAATACAGATTTAACTATCCTAAAAAAAATAAATATATTACATTTACTTGGAATATTATTTAATTTTGGAATGTTGTAATTGTCAAAGTTAATTGAGCTAGGCTGGTACACTTCTTCCTATTCCTTTGTTATGTTCAACTCCAAAAGAAAAAAAGTTAATAAGTAATATGTAATTATACTTCCTAAAGCTTAGTAGTTAAAAGAAAATTTAAACTTTCTACAATTGTTTTATTACTCGGTTACTGAGCGTTTATAACTATAAGGTTGTAACTGGTTACGAGAGGTTACATGAGGTTACGAAACGACCTCAGCGAAGGTCGAAAACTAGGAGTTACAGTTTCACTTCTTCCTCAGTTAGTTATGTAAGGATATGTGAATAGCGAAATTAAATTAAATGCCATTTTGAGCATAAATCTGCAGTTATAACTTCCGTTTTAATTTTTTTTTTTAAATTGCGAACAAGAATGCCTGTGAAAAATTGCAAATTTCTTTTTCGAACTTCGCTCCAATCTTCCTAGTGGAACTGAGGCAGAAATCTCATTTGTAATATTACGACTGGGAAAAACCCATGATTTAATAACGCGCTCGCCACCTAATGAACGGTTACAGTTATAATAACGTTTTTGAAAATGAATATGTTATCCTCTTTGACAAAACTGGTATTTGTTTTCATTTTTAAAGCATTCCAAAAGTGAAAGTGAGGAGGCTCATCCCAATAAAATTGGAATATTGGTTATATTTTACGTTCGACGTGTATCCTGGTCACCCTCATGCAAAACATCACGTAATATAGAGATGAGTTAGATAATCGTCCGCCAGGGGTCATCCGAAAACGTACACTTCTTTTTCAGTTTGGCTCAACGGACCAGTAGATCTTAGCATTTTTTAATCGTTATACAGAAATTAATACTTATGAGACCAAAGACAGAATAGACATTCGATGTTGATAAATATATTGATTAATTTCTGGAAGGGTACTTATCCCTTTTATATCAGAAAAATTTTATCATAAATTTACTTACCATCAAAACCCTCTTACACAATCCCTATCAAGCACCATTCACCCTCCAAGAAGGTTAAATAAAACGGCTGTGGCCCCACGATCTTTTGTAGTTTGTATACATTGGAGTTCTTGCAATGGTCAGATTCTTTACTCAAGACATGAGTGTATGTGGCTAAAGTGCTTTCGACCAATCTCCACTGGCTCCAGGGATCTCTAACAGAAGGAAATAACAGCACCGGAGTTCCCTCGCCTGATTATAAATAGTGTACATTGGTATGCCTAAGCTTTTTTTCCATTAATTTATTTACTTTTAAATTATTTAATATTCTTTTTGATTATTATTTAGTTATTTTTCTTCTGTTTATTTTAATTTTATTTTTTTACATACTGTGTGAATGCTATCTTGCCTCCTTGTAACCAATGTTCATGTCACAGATTGTTATATTATTCAGTAATTAAAATAATAAATAATACAAAAAAAAAAAAGAAAAGAAAGGTTACTACAGCTAAAGATGAATTCGTGGGGCATTTTCATTTTTTTTGTGATTAAGCAATACCATGTTATATTATAAAGGTAGAACATTGTGAGACCTTAAACTAACTTAAAAGAAATGAGAATGATTAAGAAATAAATAAAATGTTGGGTAGGTGAAGACGATGCTTCGTTGACAAAGCTTGGAAAACTTCTTTTCAAAACGATGCTCGTTTCTCTGGTAATCGTTGATCGCATTCAAGTCAGGCATAATTATGAATAAGATAAATAATATATTACAGTTGTTCAGGTTCGTAAGGCTATACGATATTTGTAGATATCGTACCTTTTAGTGCGAAAGGAAAAGAGGCTCTGTTGTCGATCCTACAATTCGATTTGAAATAAACGATGAGGATCAAGATCTTAAAATGCAAGCAGAAAAAGAAGAGATCTATATAAAATGCATTCCGTATCTGCAGGAGAAATTTGGCGGAAGAGAATACTCGGTTCGAGGATTAGTGGTTCGGGAGTAGAGGAGCGATTCCTCCTTCAACTGCTGTGTTTTTGGAAAAGTTGGGTGTGGAAAGGAGCCATCTGCTCAGTATAGCGGAATCATTGGGAGTTATTTTGGACTCGTTGGGAATTCTGCACTATTACATATTCTGAGCAGTTCGTTATGGGCTTTGCGGATAGTCTTGAGAAGAAATAAAATTGATAGTAACAATAAGAAGATGAATGATTCGGTTACTTAACATTCGGTACTTTGGGTGATAATCCTGCAAAACTGTAGAATTTTTGTTCACTCTCATTAAACATTATGGATTGGGACTGATCATTATGCTGGTTATTGTAGCAACTCAAAATAGTATAGCAGCTGTACAGTTTTATTGTACTTGGTACAAATATTCATCTGCGCCTGTCGACAAACTGTTGTCAATCAGCATATGGTCTGTAAAAAATAATGAAACTGACATGTCAAACATGTGGAAGGATAGCATCCAGCAGTTTACCATGTTTTGTTAAGAAAGAAGTCTTGTATCAAGCACCTTTATAGTCTCCTCCTCGTATTAATGGCCATGTCTGTTATTAGTATTTTATTATTTCCGTGTAAATTAATATGAAATCGTGCGAAAAGAGCCCTTGTCTGACAGTCAATTGCAGGCAGATGGAACTCTTTATACAGGGAAGGAGGTGTTTCATCCAACATTTTTTTTCCGTTAATTTAAATGGTTTTATAAGTCTCATAACCTGGCAGAAATGGACGAAGTAGAGATTGAAGAGATGCGAAGACTAAACAAGTATTAACCGGTTGACCTATTGATATAAAAAAAAAATGGTTTCTTCAACATGAATACTGAGATTAATCATAAAAAAAGAAATACAAAAGGTGTATTGTATCAGTTACTGTGGGATTGAAATTTATTAATAACTCCCCTCCCTCTTCCCTAATTCCCTTAAAAATGTTACTTGGTCTTACGATAACTTTATACATTAGACAATTTTCAAAAATAAGTTTATAGTCAATTGGACAAATGATATCTAACATTTTTGAGTTCAGTGAAAATTTTAATACACCTTTATCAACTACTATGCATATGCAACTACTATTTTGATATTTGTATACTCCTTTATTTTTAGAAACAATTCAATTTTTTCATAAAATAACATATGAAAACCTCCATACCAATATGACAACGTAACAATGCACTGCCTTTCATGTAAATTAAAAGTTCACATTATAAATCATGATTTAATTTCGATATTTGCATGACATCCACTGTATATTCATGCACTAGGACCTGGATGGCTACCACACAATGCACCTCTCTTACGTAACTTCCCCGCGAATCCTCGTAGCACGAGGAAGAAAGGACACACCTGACATTACAGGTTCACGCATCAAACAAAAAAGAAAAAAATCAAAACCATTCGAGACTTAGAAAGGAGGAACTTTCGCTCATTCACTTTCTAACCGAGTAAGATCGGGTCAGGAGAGCTCATACGCTACCGCGCATCCTCTTCTTATGCGCACCGCCGACCTCTTGTGAAGGCGCAACATCCATCGCGAAATTTGCATCTCAATGATGAGGGAGCGTTGGTCGGACTGTCTATGTCCTTCGTCCATTCCCAAGGTAGAGCTTCTTCACAACTCTCAGCTGTCAGCTCGCTAACATCTCATCTCGGAGCGGAAAAAAATTAGAAAGCTAGTTCATACTTTATAATAGTCTTCTTTTTAGAGTTTACTGTCCTTCATTTCAGTCAATTATTCTTTTAACTTACATTTTGAAATATGAACTTAGCTAAAATAATCGGTAACAAAGAATAACAACAATAAGTTCGTATTATGAACACCTGAACAAAACAGAGAAATGATTGGAATCAATTCTTAGTTATTCTTATCCTTATCTTAGTTATTCTTAGTTATCAATTCTTAGGGTGTCTACCATAGTGAACACCCAATTATTAGTCTAAAGCAAGATGTTGCTCTAGATGATATATTTTATAACATGAACTAGAAATTTGACGATGGAGCACATTATTATTATTATTTTTAAGCCTTGCATCCACAAGATCATTGGGATTTTAGTTCTGAAGATGGGAGTAAATATCCCGAAACGTAAACTTGTTAACATGTAACGTTGATAATACAAGAATTATATTCAATTGTTGCTAATTGGAAGTAACTAAGAATATTAGACAACTTCCCAGAAAAAAGAAAAAAGTGGAATCAATTGCTTTACGATCTTCGGTTTTTTGACCATACATTAACATTACCTCCAGTTCAACAATTAAAAAAAATCTTAGTAACCTTTATTTGTACAAAAAAACATTTCAATTAAAAGTTGTATTATTACAAAAATATATATGTTATCTGGGGCCTATTACTTATACTCATCTCATGTTAGTCAAGCTAATAGTATTACAATACAAATCTACAAAACTTCAAAGTTCAAGTACTACTGTAAGTAAAAACTGATTAAAACCGAATCTAACCTTTGAAAGATAACAAATAAAATGTTGAGTTTTATCAACAGGGTAAAAAATTGATTGAATTGGTCTCAACAGCGATTAAGTTGCATGTTTATTACTATTTTTTTCATCTTAGTTTTAACATAATAATGTCACACTATCATGGATATAGTACAGTTAACCTTGCTTCCAGGTGTTAACTCGTGATAAAAGTAATATTTAGCTCATACTTTCAATTTTACAACTTGTAGTTTGTACTTTCTTTATGGAACGAAAAAGTACCAAGTACCATGGTACTACTACTAGACTAATAGCATTGGTTTTGAGTCAGATTTTAAAAAGTTTTTGACTTGTTAATTTAATCCAGAAGTGACACAGGGTACAAACCCTATTTTATCAAATTATTAACAAAACCTCGTGAATGGCTAAATCGTAACTTTTGTATTTACGAAATGGAGCGTTTCCAATCTTCAGATCGTTAAACTTTGTCTATTTGATGGAGTACTAAAAACTCATGAAGACCTACTTCCTTTCCACTTGAATCGTAAGATAATTTGATCAGAAAATCAGGAAAAAAATTACCTATAAAAATATTCGGCTGTTTGACATGACCTCCATTTCCAACATGTCAAAATAACGAGATTATATAGGCGAACAAATATTTTTTTGACCTCTTTTTTCTCAATTTTGTGATGAAATTATCTTACGATTCAAGTGGAAAGCAAATGAGTATTCATGATTTTTTAGAAATAATTAATTTAATGATAAAACACCACATCTATGAGATTTTTCGTAGTTAAAAATACTGTAGGTTACGATAAGATGAAACTATTCACGAAGTTTTAGGCGAATATTAATAATTTCATAAAATGGGGTGTGTGCAGTGTACTGTGGAACTTTATTACAATATAATAAAATATGGTTGAAATAACTGTGATGTATTAACTATTGCTCATTTCTTTCTTTAGTCGCCCGTCGAAACAAGCGGTTCTCATTCTTTTCTAATCTTTAAAACCTGGTAAATTTGAAATAAAAAATCGTTTCTGCTAATCCATTTTTAGTTGTTTTCTTTTTCCAAGATTGAGTATTGTTTCAAAATGTATTTGCGCCCATCAACTTATTGTTGAAAATCTGCAAATGTGTTGGCAATACAGGAAATAAAGACAGGCATGGGAAAGGATAGTACTCAGCAGCACCTCTTCCCTGCCTTGTTCAATTACTTAGGTTGTTTAAGGAAGGAGATCTCTCATCCAACGCCTTTTTAGTTTACTCGTCATGTTCTGAGGTATGTCAGCCATGTCTCTTACTAGTATTTTATTATCTCCGTTTAAATGACTGTAAAATCGTTGATAAAGTGACGTTATATGTTGGTCAACTGTTGGAAGGTGGAGGTCAGTATGTAGAGTTTTGTTAGTCACTTATCATGGTGCTTTTGTTATGAGTCACAATAATGTTGTTTGCAAGGTTTGCAAGTTTTCGTAGATTTTTATTTTCGTCCAAATATTTGTTAATAAAATACATACGACGTTGTCTAGTTATAATAATCTTTTCATTCATTGCTAGTAATTAATGCTTTACATATATTCCTATCTAATATTTAACAAATTTGGTTTCTGTCTATATGATCAACATTTTTTGTTCGAGCTACTAAACATGCATTCCTCTATAAGAAGCTGAATTCACCCAATTTTAGAAAAATAACCGCAGGTTATGTAGTTCCGCAGGTTCCTCGTATCTTCGTAATTTATATCCACACTTACCACTCTACCACGAAGATTAAGGGATAATATTAAGGGAAAGTAAATTGTGGTTTGCGGTGACTGGAACATCAGAATCTTCAGTGATTTTATTATCTTCAAAATTTATTTATAAATTTATATTAGAGTTAAAATTACTAAAACTACTAAAATTTACTTTTTTTTTCTACATATAACATGTGACTTTTTCTATTACATGTAAATATTGCACTTCTAGGAACCGTATCTAGTTTTAAAATATTTTTCTTTTAGTAAAAAATAAGATTGTATTTCTGTTAGTAAATAAATCTTTTATAAATTATTAATCAAATTTTTCGGTTTTTGTTTATAGATATAAATTAATTATGGGGAATTTTAATAAATAAATTCATTTAATCTAGGTTATGTGCGCCTTCATTTTATGGAGACAGTCCTGCAATGCATTTGTGTAATGCGGGTTTAATCGAACTTAATACTTGCTGGGCTGAGTCTGTCAATGTTTCATACATTTGCATATTCTCAATTATAAAATACTTTTACATAATAATATAAATATATTATATTATACCTCAGACAAATTTTTTTTTGATAAATAATTCATAAATGTTACCGTTAGCTGAAACTTAAATATTATTGTTAAAAATATTGATGAATTAAATGAAGTAAACTAGTTAAAAATTAATACATGCAATAAAAAGAATAATAATAACGACATATAAAAATTAGTAAAAGTAATTAGTAAAATGCGCTGATTTTCAGTTATATCTCAATGAGCAGAAAACGAATAATATTCGACATACCAAATCAAAAATTTAAAATACAAATACTTGAGAACGCTATAATGCCTTTAAGTAAAATTCCTGTAATCAAACTAAATCAAACAAAAGCTACGAGAAATCTATCGAACAAAAAAACTGCCCTCGTACCTAAGGCAAGAAAATAACTATATAAAAAAAATAACAACTCAATTTAGACAGTATTTCAATTTTTGGAGAAAAGATAATTTAAATGAAAGTAACTTAATATCCACAATTTATCAGTTGGATGTTTTGCAGTGCGATCCAGATAAAATTAATGAAAATAATGATCATTTATATGCTGATAAATTTTGTTCAGGGCGAATTATTTGGAATTATTCAAAATTGACAATGCAGTCTTCCTCAAGAACCTGTTTTATTATATGAGGCAATGTTGCAGATTGAGATCCTTTATTTTCAATGAATAACAACATTATATATATTTTTCCAAAACTTTGAAGTTTATTCACTTTGTTCTGCTTATGGTATTTATTATTCATGCATGAAACATATTTATATGCATATCGTGTTTTATTGTATCATTTGCTATTAACTATTAACATGTTTATATGTTATATATTGTATTTATCTTTATTTATCTATGCCTGTATTTATCTTTATTACTAGTGCTATTTGTTACTGTGTGTCATTTTATCGCTCGCTATATTCAAATGTATCATTTTTTAATTATTGTATTATGTGGGGTATTATATTATATTTCATTGTTTATATTTAGGCATACAGTCAGATGGTTGGTTGTTGTCAGGAGAGGATGTTGTCACTGAATCCTAATGAATTTTACTTTGTATATAAGTTGTAAATGTTTTTCATATTAATTTGTTCATTGTTATCATTATACCCAACTCTATTTGTATGGGGCATTCCCCGAAAACAAATAAATAAATAAAAATTTTTCACTGTTCTGAAGAACAAATTATACATTCAAGTATTTGAATTTTCCATGAAAAATCAGAAAACATAAAAGTTATTAGTATTTTTTTTTTTTTTGTTCTGCTTCTAAGTTATTTAATGACACGTAAGGTTAACTAAAGTTGTCCTCGACATTGAAGGATAGTTTTCGAGACAATGGGGAATATGTGGTCATTATCTTCCAATATTTAATCGAAACAAAATATTATAACAGAATATAAAAATTTCGAACTGTCGCTAATGACCCTCTAGGATAGGGATAAACTTAAAAAAAAAATGTAAGGTGTGGCAGAATCAAGCGAACAAAAATACATTAGAGCTAAGTTCTAGAAAATATTTTATGAAATAATTTTACAATAGAGAAAAGTCTATATATGGCAATTGAGCATCTCTGATAAATTATTTTGATCTATTGCCATTGTATTCACTATTTAAAAATTTTTAAACCCTTATACTAACATATCATTTTATAGAAACAATGTTATAAACATTTCATCGAAAAACATGCTAACATGGTAAATCCATGATTGGCTACTCACATCCTTGAGGAGCTGACGAAGCCTGAGGAGCCTGTCATCCTGAGACCTGGTCGGGAGGTAGCGGGCCTCTGTCAGCGCCAAGACCATCATGAGGGCCAGCAAGCAAGCAACTGACTGCTTATACATCTTATCTTCTCTGTATATTTCCTGAAAGTAAGTTGCGTAAGTAAGTAACGAAACTTCTAACTCATTCTTTTCTATATCTCGAATATGACAGTGAGTAAGAAGTATTGTTGCCCAAATGCGAGACCGAGACGACTATTGGTCTTGCAAACTCAGTCTTGGTCTTGAGCAAGACTCTCGTAACAGTATGTCTGTAATTTTTTTTTCTGCTATTTTTGGACTAAAACGTTTTTTCCTTGCAACTTTTCAATTAAGCGGTTCAGAAAACGTTAATTTTTATTCCAAAATTTTGATAGGGTTGATGATTTTCCAGGATAGGGTTTCATCAAAAGTAACACCTAGGTTTTTAACGGTGGTGTGTGAGAAGATAGGTGAGTTGTTCAGGAGGAGATTGGGAGATACCGGGGAGGATTTGAGGAGTGAGGGGGATCCGATCAAGATGGCTTTTGTCTTCTCGGCGTTCAGAGTGAGCCTATTGAGGTTTGCCCAAGCACTTATTCTGTCAATGTCTTCCTGAAGTTTTAGAGTGGCATCTGAGATATCTGTCGGATTAAAGGAGAGGTAAATTTGAATGTCGTCGGCATACAGGTGGTATTGACAGTGCAGGATAGAGGATGGGAGGTCATTTATATAAATGAAGAAAAGGGTGGGGGATAAGGAAGAGCCTTGTGGGACGCCTCTGGTCAGAGGTAGAGATTTTGATGGGGTTTTATTAGGAATTACAACGTACTGGGAGCGACCGGTAAGGAAAGATTGGAACCAATTAAGGGAACTGGAAGAAAAAGAGATATTTTTAAGTTTGGTTAGGAGGATGTTGTGGTCTACGGAATCAAAAACTTTGGAAAAGTCTAGGAGAATAAGGATGGTTAGTTTCTGCTGATCTATGGCTGTGTGAAGGTCTTGGGGAAATTTTGATTAGGGAAGACTGAAAAAGTCAAAAAGTGACTTTTATCCTTAACTAAATAAACGAAATATTAGAAATATCAAGTAATTTATTTAAGATCAATTATAACTCTAATCAAAGTCCAATTAATGTTTATTTCTTATTATCCATTTTTTTTTAATGAAATTGAAACTCTACTGGTCCTTAATAGCAGTAAGAGGAGCTGGGATCTTCTAGAGTCCTGCCTTTCCTTTCACGAGTGGGGAGAAAGGCTTGGCTCGGAGATTTTGAATGAATGATTTTTATTTTATTTTTTTAAATATTGTATAGAAGCATGTGTGTATGTAGATAGTTATTTTTATTAGTTTAGTTCATATACATTTACTTATAGCATTATTGATTTTCTGTATTATTTATTTTTAATTATTATTCGTAGAGGGTGAATGTGCTCTCAGAACACTATTATAAATGTTCTTATTGTGACAGATTGTAATATCTTTTAATGAACATATTTTTAAAAAAATGAAACACTTCAAAATTCAAGTTCAAAACCTAAAATTAACAAATTAATGTATACCTTTTGACATAAACCTAGAGTATTATTACAAAAAGGTTCCGTAGGAATTTTATTCTAAAAACTTTTTTTCTTAATAAGTTACACAGAAAATGTTAATATAAAACATTTTTAAAAAGTTCCACAAAATTTCAACACCTGAGTTAAAGGAAAGATACCAATCACTTACGAGCTTAAATTATTATTAAAACGCTATTTTCTCTGTTTTGATGCGTGTTAAATTATAATATTAAAAAAAATGCTTCTTAATTAATACAAAAGAATAAAACAAGTCATTATATTCATTATAGTTATTCACGCCATAAACTTAAGAAAGTACAAGTGTGAATTGTAATGGCGGAAGTGAAATATTTGCGTGCGAAGCTGCGGGTAAAAGTTAGTTGCTCCATAAAAAAAAATACTCTCATATTCTTAAACGATGATATAACAGTATACATACAATAAATATTATTGAGGATACAAATTGAAATATTCGCTTTATCCAATATATTTAAATTAGTATTAGATAACAGTAAGAGAAAAGGAAATAGTTCAACGACGAAATATAGTTATAAGAAAATAAATAAAATTAAAATATTCCAGTAAAATGATGGAGAAAGAAGGTCTTAAAATAAATACGGATAAATGAAATAGTTTATGAACTTCGATTACATAAATATGAAGAAAAATCATTTTTAATATTAGCTGTTGAGAGTTTGAAGACCATAAATCAGTATCTAGATATTGACCTAATATTATGTGAATGATAAATGTAACAATAATATTAGTGCCCTCCAATGCGGAAGAATGTATTACTTTTCTATTAATAAATAAATAAAAAAGTAATAAGAGTGAAAGTTCTATTAACACTAGATTTTTATTATTTTTGAGGATAATCTTTTTCGAAATTCGAAAGGAAATATACGTTTGTAACTTCCCTGTTAATAATGTTTGTCATAAAATAATATAATGTCATAAAATTACTCAACTTACTTCCCGAATACGTCTCATGAGACTTGAAAGTAAAAAACTTTAATATTCTTATACAATATTATTCTTTGTGTAATGAACCTCATCTCTTTCTTAGATAATATGGAGGATTACGCCAAATTTTCGAAGATGGAGTTATGGAAGAAGTATTAACCCAAAAAATATTGTGAATATAATTATCATCTTGAAAGTAAATTAAAATTAAACTTAAAAGTAATCAAGTCTCGAATGCCAGTTATTAATGACTAATGTTACATGAGAATATTTAACTTTCAACAAATATTATTAAAGATATCTAATTTTAAGTGTAGCATACTCTATTTTTTTTTTACATTTTTCACATAAGATTCATACCTACATTATATTCTTGAATACAATAACGTGGAAAAATTGCGTGGAGAAATGGACGTACTTCCGAATGATTCATTTCATCTGGATTTGTCAGATTTTTTTTTTGAATCAATAAAATTTCATTGTATTAAAATAATATCTCCATGTACGCATGACATATTAATTTTTTTTTAAAAAAACAAGAATTGGTACCGATCTATAAATTTGTTACTATTGTGTAAGCGATTCGAACAAATAATAATGAAATCGGAGATTGCAGCATGGGAATTACATCTAAAACTTAATCACTTCAAAAAATACAATACTCGTTAGCCAAATGATGAAAAACTGCCAATTGTAAAAAGCGCGCTGTGAATTGAATAATGCTCACGACAAATCTCGATGCATCATGGATGTCAATTATATCTTACTTTTCGTATCGTAAATAAAATTATAACTATATAATTATATGTTAACTTGATTTTTTTTTTAATTCAATGAATAAAGATGGAGGATCGCAGTATCGAATGTATCATCTACATCTAAAACTTAATCACTTCAAAAAATATACCACTCGCAAGCCAAAGTATCGTTATATAAACTGCCAATTATAGAAAGCACGCTGTAAGTTGACATAATGTTTCATGACAAATCTGCGCGTATCGTATATGGGAATCGTATCATACGTTGTATATTCTTAATAAACTTATAGCCGAGTAATTATTTGTTAATTTGATCCTTTTTCCTGATCCAGACCATTAAAAAAAATGCTTCCATCATTATCAAGTACTTTTTAAGCTTAAATAATAAGTATAGGAGTATAACTCTAAAAAAAAAAATCTGGTTAACATTGACTTATTCACGTCAAAAGACCGTATATCTGGCGCCGTCAAATTCGTTCCTTTTTTTTTATAACTTATTTATTGAGAGATATTACACTCTGCCAGAACTTAAGGACATTTATAATAGTGTTCAAAGAGCATATTCAAATTCCATTCACAATAAATAATACAGAAAAATAATGATACTAAAAGTAAATGCATATAAACTAAACTAAACAAAAAGAACTAAGCTAATGAAAGTAACAACTCAAATACATACATGCTTCGATACAAAATCTAAAAAAAAAAAAATCATTCACTCAAGATCTCCGAGCCAAGAAACATTTCTCTCCACTCGTGGAAGGAAATCTGATATTACAATCAGACATACTTTCTTTTTTAATTTTTTTTTTAAATTAATTAAAAGCATATCTCTATGAACCGCAGAGTTCTTTAATTATTACTAATTTTTTTTTATTCAATATCTAAAATAGGAAAAAATTATGTTGCAATTTGATTCGACTGATTCTTTTAATAAGCAGAATATATAGAAGTTACAAATTAAATTATAGAATTTTATAAATTTTATTTGAAATATTTAAAATTAGTTTTATATTAATATTTAACTATATATTATAATTATATTATGCTGTATTAATAATATACTTTTTGGTATTTAAATGTCTTTACTCCGCGACGAATACGAATACTGACCTGGAAAACGAGACAGCTCGGGTAGTGCTGGGAGTTGTAGTGGCCAACGGCGGAGGCCGGGGCAGATATATATAGGGGTGGTTCCGCCCCTTTGGGGGGGGATGGTTGGGGGTTATTTCACCCCCACGCCCCCGCATCTTCCCTCTAATAAATCCGCCGTCTAGGATCCTGTTTATCGTCCGCTCCCGAGGGAATTTATCGCTTAGGGAAACAACTATTTCGAAAGGCGTAACTGATTTTATGATAAACGGGAAAATAATACTGGATCTACAATACGTTGTTATATTTAAAAAAAAAGGTAGTGAACGTAGACTTTTTTATTTTGTTTTGAATTTATAAAAAAAAAAAAATAGACCTGATAAAATTTAATTTAGGATATGATATTTCTATTACAGTTATTATCGTTAAGTTGCGGAATGGACTTAATCCGTAACAATTAATAATATTAATTTAACCTTTATTTTAATAATTTAGTTTGTTAAATATGCCAATTGGTGAATTATGTATTGTATTTATAATTTCCATTACTCAAAGGATAAAAGGACAAAGCTATCCCTAGATAGCCAGGCAAGCTATACTTGAGAGCTTTGAAGTAGTTATCTAAAAGGCACCGACTGGACACAAGAAGACCCATTATCAAGACTTAGGGAACTATATCAGATTTCAACAAAAGGCCCTTTCTCACGGATCTCATATCAATAATAAACGATAAGGATATCAATTTTCAATAGTTAATAGCACCCTTTCCCATATACATTTTAAAAATATCAATTATATCAATCAACTTCATTTGAAGAGCTTTCCCAGACTCCTAAGCCTTCCCAAAATTACTTCACCCAGCTACTATTCTAGGGTATATTACCCCATGTTCCTCAGACCAAATCACTCTTGCAGTTACATTCCTGAAGTCGAACTCTTGCTAGAAGACCTGAAGTGAACTCTTGTAGTCAACCCATGCATCCATAGTATATTTCAGTATTTTAAGATGCCATTTGTAACAGACATTATGAATAAAAGTATTACTAATAAAGTCTTTTCTACTAAAAAAAATAGATAAACCCTGTTGTTAACAAAGGTTTGAATTTCTAAAAGCAGATTTCAGATCTTCCCCCCAACCGGCGACTCTGGAAGTTATTGAATATTTAACACGCGAGAACGTTGAATTTAGAATGACAATCATAACTTTTAATTTTTTTTACTTGCGTATGCGAGTTACTACAGTGTTGACTAAATAACTTCAAATTGTTTATATTGACCAAATTAAACACATCGTGAATTTAATATCTATGTTTAAAAAAAAAAATGTTATTATAACATTCATGTAACTAGGTAATAAATTATACAATATAGTGTTTACAATACAAACTACAAGACATGAATTTTGAACGATCTCTTGATATCTACCGTGAATATTTTAACAGTATTTATTTTACATAAAATACTTGCAGTATTCATATTGCACAAAATAATTATTTTGCCAAAAACACATTTAACATGTAGAACTTTATATAAATAGAACTTGATAATTTAGAGCAATAATGTCAAAAAATGAAAATATTTCTTTCTTCAAGTGAATCAAAAAATGACTTGGAAATTATTTTTATGAAATTCCACATTCTATATATATATATATATATATATATATATATATATATATATATATATATATATATATATATATATGGTTAGCTGCAAAAATGGCGATACTACTGGTGATATCGATATAGATGGTAATATGTTTGAACAGGTAGATAAATTTAGGTATCTAGGTTCTACGATAATATATATATATATATATATATATATATATATGTATATATATATATATATATATATATATATATACCATATATATATATATATATATATGGTTAGCTGCAAAAATGGCGATACTACTGGTGATATCGATATAGATGGTAATATGTTTGAACAGGTAGATAAATTTAGGTATCTAGGTTCTACGATAACTAGAAAAAACGAAATTGAAGAAGAGATTAAAGTTAGACTGAAGGCGGGGAATGCTTGTTATTTTTCTGTGACAAAACTACTCAGTTCGCGCCTCTTGTCCCGAAACTTAAAAATTAGAATCTATAAAACAATTATTTGCCTACAGTTCTTTATGGATGCGAAACTTGGCCGCTTACATTAAGGGATGAGCAGCGTCTTAAGGTTTTTGAAAATAAAGTATTGCGTAGAATATTCGGACCGAAGAAGGATGAGTTAACCGGAGAGTTCAGACGGTTACACAACGCCGAATTGCGTGAGCTATATCCGGGTAATATAATTGAGGTAATTTCATCGCGGCGAATCAAATGGGCTTGTAAAGTTGTTGGGCTTAGTAACGAGAGAATTCCTAAAAGGTTAATATTTGCTGTGCCGAATGGTAAGCGTCGGAGGGGTAGACCGAAGCGAAGGTGGGAAGATTGCATTAAAGCTGATCTGAAGGGACTGGGTTTGGACGGCGAACGGTGGAGGGAGGTGTGTAACAAGCGATTGGTGGTGTCGGCATCGAACCTTCGGGTTCGCTAAGCCTTATTATTATTATTATTATATATATATATATATATATAGAGAGAGAGAGAGAGAGAGAGAGAGAGAGAGAGAGAGAGAGGGAGAAATACTTTATTAAAAGTAATGCTGCCTTACTACATAGGGTTGCTTCGTACACAACATACTTATCAATCCACACGGACATTAATTTTATATATATAAATTGGATCTATAATTATTTATACTAGAAGATTATAGTTGACAAAAGTAATACTTCAGATGTACTCACATAACTTTTAAATTTAAAAATATTACAACTGAAGATAAAATAAAAATTAATATTTTGCTTTTAATGCATCTGGTCGACTAAATGACCTGACTTCAAATTCAATACTCCCAAAAACATAAACAGACAAAATTTGAGCAAAATTTCCGAATAAGCTAAAGCCAATCTCCAAGAAATCTCATGCTCGCCCCAGTGTGCGGCATAGCGTTAAGATACAATTTTGAATAATAGCTCATCACAAAAAGGATGCAATACTGAAGATTTCTCTCGCTTACTGTAAGCAGGCCCGATTTATGTAATTTCTGAGATATTTTAATTCCAGACGTTTGACAGGGTCTGGCAGCCGAGACTGATGCACAAACTCCGTAAATTCCTCCCAACTACATATTTCCTCATTATCAGCTCCTATCTTACTGATAGATATCTGAAAGTAAAACATAATTCTTATTCATTCCTTTTTTCCCAGTCTGCTGGTGTTGCTCAAGGTAGTATCTGGAGTCCAATCCTTTACAAAGTTTATACAGCTGACTTCCCAGTCCCTCCCAACATTTTCATCACCACGTATGCCGATGCCAAGTGTATCCTATCAGTTGATAATGATCCATCAACTGCTTCCCAAACTCTCTAACCGCATATCACAAACCTTGAAAAATGGTATAAAAACTGGGGGATGCTGTCCTACAGTATCCTTTAACAATTCCCAACTTATCCCAGTCGAACAAATCCGATACCTAGGACTCCACCTGAACAAACGACTCACTTGGAATCACTTGGATAAGAATGAAACGACAAGAAATCGCTTGACGTTTCCGACTACTCCAGCCCTTACTAGACAAACCCTCTAAGCTTTCAATTAATTACAAAAGACTCATTTATATGACTATAATAAGGCCTATTTTGATTTATGGAATGGAGCTTTGTGGCTTCACTAAGAATCGATTTTTTGTAAAAAAGAAAACTATACTTAGTTTATTTTACAAAAATCCTTATGAATTTTTCTAATTTATTATAAATTTTAATTAGTTTAATCCAATCAGCAATATCTCTTTTATTTTACACAATAAAAAACAAACCGAAAAATAAATTCATGCAGAGCAAAGGCATACAACAATAATATAAAAAAATGTGAAAATTTTATGTTATTATCTTGGCTCCTAGAGAACATTGGCAAGAACCCTCGGACATGTGTGAAGTATTTTTGGACCCAGAATCACCAAAAAAAGTTTGAATGAAATCGGACACCACGTAAACATATCCTCACCGCTCCGAAAAAAAGGCCATTTTTGACCCAATATCGAGCAATGACACAATAAAATCGGTTAAATACTCTCTAGAACATTTCCGAAGGTCAGCCATTGTCGCCTGACGAATTGTAACTGAGTAACAAAATGAATCGGAAAACGGTGTATTTCTGGCTCAGTTTTATTTCTGGCTCTCTGGCTCAGTTTTAATAAAACTGTACCGCCTTCGAAATGGAATCAAAACTGCACTGTTTTCCAGTCCACACGCAACATTTTATCTGCAACATTTTGAACTGCACAGACAAAACGTTGTGCAAAACGGAGCGTCTGAACCGGCCTTAATGCAGGGGTCTCCAAACTTTTTGAAATCTCGACCAATTTCCGCGGCCCGCATAGATATCTTCGCTTAAGTCCCTCGGGCCATGTTTTGTGATCTTTTTGTATAAATGACACTTGACAGCTGTCAAATGAGCTTTCTAAAAAAAAAAACTGCTGTAAATGTCGTAGTAACCTCGTGTGTGAGCAGATTGCTAAATTTCATATTAATTTTTTTTTTTAATTTTACCATGTAATGAAAGATGGTTTCACTAGCCGGATTGAACATGGTTACGGCCCGGATCCAGCCCGCGGGCCTTAGTTTGGACACCACTGATCTAATGAAATCAAAATACAAAACTGATTATATAATGAATTACTACACACACATATATATATATATATATATATATATATATATATATATATATATATAGTATGTAGTTGTAACTCATATATAGAAACTAAAATTACTTAATTATCTTCCATGTATTTTTCTGATAAAATGATGAATTGATGCTATTTTCATTTTTATAAGACCATTTGAGTTGAAGAAAAATAGTCCCTTTAGGTCTGGTAAATGTTACAGGTTTAAGAGAGTGCCCTCAGAAAGAAGGTTATATAAAAAGTTGTTCCATTAAAAAGACATTGAAGGTAAACAAAAGCGGAAGATGGAGGCGGGCAATGATTGATCTTCCGAGGAGCTTTTAGGCTTCTCTTTGTCAGCAGCTAATGGGGAGGTGGAAGAGAGCTCTCATCGTCTGTTTTTGATTGCTCATCCTCTTCTTAGCGAAAACAAACTCCC